GCAAACACATGGGTTACTCTCTTCAAAGTGATCACTTTAAGAAGGTCCAGATTTTGTCATGATGCCAAGAACATTATTTTTCCTCCCCTTTCCATCTCTTCTTCACCCCCTCCCCCAATCGGTCTCTTTATTTTCTCCAACCATCTATCTTATGTTTGTATTCATTCATTTCAGCAAAATATGAAATGAGAGACTATGGGGATATTCCAGTCAGAAGCTGCTGTTGGAAATTTTTTCATACATTGATTCAGCTTATATTATTTATGTACCTACTGTGTATTCTGTGCCAAGGAATGACCTCAGAACCAGTATTACAGCCAGGCGTGGGGGTGTGTGCCTATAATCGCAGCACTCTGGAGGCTGAGGCAAGAGGATTGCAGCGATTTCAAGAATACCCTGGTCACAGCCTGAACTTCATAGCGAACCAAAAATATAAAGAAATAAACCTGTTTTACATTCATTGGTTACTTCATTAAGAGAGGTTTATTCCTTCAAGATGGATATTTTTAAATAGCCAAAACAGTCTTTAGGTATAAATGTAATGAATTGATAATTCAATTTAAGACAATTCTACTTATTTTGAGCTAGAATTAAGATATAATCAGTAAAAGTAGTTTTCTTGAAGATCATAAGAAAACCACTATGTTCATTTCTTGTAATACTATGCTACTATTGTGAAGGATTTGCCCATATTTTTGATGACTTCAGCGCCTGACTTACAAGAGTTTTTTTACCCTTGATGATCAGCCTGTCATGGTACTTAGTATATTTTTGTGCCAGTATTGTATTTCCTATCTTTCCACCATCCAATTTTTATCTCATATGCAGTACTTCTTTTGAATTAACATTACCACATGTCTTTTAGGGTCTTGTTCCTCTTTCTGTTCATTCCAGCAGCACCATTCAGTCAACTTCATCCTCCCTCAAGGTCATCTGTTTTGAATGCTGCTGTGTTTTTGTCCTAGAATTTGTTACATCATAACTAATGCTTAGTCAGTCTTGCTGTCTTTGAATCTCATCATTTTTTAGTGTACCAAACTCTGCTTGAGTCAGTCAGCTCTGAATACATAATCTTTAACTTTCATTTGGTCCTTTTAAAAAATACATCTTATTTTGCCAGGCATGGTGGCTCATGCCTGTAATCCCAGCACTCGGGAGGCTGAGGCAGGAGGATTGCTGTGAGTTCAAGACCAGCCTGGGCTACATAGTGAGTTCCAGGTCAGTCTCAACTACATAATGAGACCCTGTCTCAAAAAAACCAAAAAATACATCTATTTTAACATGACTTTTTATGACCTTCCAGTTTTTACTGTAGCCTCTCAGTTGTTAAACTTGCCTGCATATTACTCAAAGGCCATTGTTTCTGTTTTCCCCAAGTGTTTTTTCTGCCTGAGGGTCTTTTCCCCTTCATCCAGACATTAACCTCAGAAAACAGGTATGTCTCACTTTTATAAAGTTAACCCTTCTCTTCCTCTCCAACATCATTTAGGTGTTTTGAGCCTTAATTTCATTTCTCTCTCTGACACATTGCTTCCACCTACAGATGTTTTCAGATATTTTTTAGGATAAAAATTTGTCTCATGTATTTTGCTTGTTTTCCTTTTATACCATCAATGTTTGTAAGAAAAAATATTCTTTTTTATCCTTTATAATTCAAGTATCATCCCCACTTACAGCTAAAGCTGCTCCTGTAAAGTTATTTGTTAATGTCCTAATCACTAATGTGCTCACCATTTTCCATTCTTAATCTTCTGTGACTTCATTCATGTTTGATAATTTTGATTACTCACTTGGGGGAGGAAGTATTGCTGAGTGTCGAACCCAGGGCCTTGAGCATACTGGGCAAACACTCTACCACTGAGCTAGTCTTACTTATGAAATTATTCTTCTGTTAAACTGTTACTGTCCATTTTTCTCCTTTCTTTTTGGCTACTACTCTGTATCATTACCTTTCTCCCTCAACCCTTCTTGCCCAGTTTTACTCCTTTTCTTGGTACCTTAATCACTTTCAGAAACTTATTGTTTTACCTTTTCCCTGTAAATTCTCTAATTTCAAGTCTGACTTTTCCTAGGATCCATTTCATTTTTGACTATTTTCACTTTTGACCTAGTTTGCATTTATAAAACAAGTTAGACATTGTATAGGATTCGGAACACTTTTACCCTAATATCCATTAAGATCAGTCAGTTTCAAAAAAAAAAAAAAAGATCAGTCAGTTTCAAACCAGGCATGGCAGCGCATGCCTGTAATCCCAGTACTCTACTCGGGAGGCTGAGGCAGGAGATTTGCTGTGAGTTCGAGACCAGCCTGGGCTACATAGTGAGTTCCAGGTCAGTCTCAACTACTTAGTGAGACTCTGTCTCAAAAAACAAGCAAAAAAAAAGA